TCTACTCTAAACTTGCTTTCAGACTGTTAAATACGGAGAAGAAGCCGTTTTTGAAACAACCGTTCGTGGGAATCCAAATCCCGAAGTTTCATGGTAAATTAACGGACACAAGGTGAGTGGAAAGTAGACTTCGGAAAACAAAACTTAACCAAAACCAAAACCACCAAAACCACCAAAACCAAAACCATAACAAAACCAAAACCAAAACCATAACAAAACCAAAAAAAAACCAAAACTAAAACCAAAACCAAAACCAAAACAAACCAAAACTCGCCAATATCTCGCGACTGGGAGGAGCTAGCGAAAATCTGTTTGCAGATTTGAAATCAGCATCCAAAAATCGTGTTTTGGTCCTTTTTTCGGCCGCGAGATTTTGTGGAGTGAGAAAAAGTGAAAGGCAAATTTGCATTTTACAATTTTAAATTTACATGTTAATTTATATGCAAATTGAGTTTTGGTTTTGGTTTTGGTTTTGGTGTTTTGGTTTTGGTTTTGGTTTTGGTTTGTTTTGGTGTTTTGGTTTTGGTTTTGGTTTTGGTTTGTTTTGGTGTTTTGGTTTTGGTTTTGGTGTTTTGGTTTTGTTTGCCGAACTCTAGTTTTTACGGCGTTTATGGTCACCATTCAAATCTTCACTGCTGCGGCTTTGATCTTTTTTCAAAGATGTCTACGAGACCGTTAAGGTTGGGTTTTTTTTGTTCAGTCTATTAACGTTAGTTTAGCGTTTCAAGTTGCTTGATCTTTATTAAAACGCCAGCTTCCATTCGATCAGTCCAATTTTGGTATCATTCGATGAGGAATCACAAGGCTCAGTCAATAATTTGAAAATTGGGCTGATTGAAAACTGGCGGATTGAAAACTGGCGATGAAAACTGGCTGATTGAAAACTGGGAAAGCTGATTACGGCAGTTTTTTTGAAATAGGTGTAGATCTGCTCTCCGAAAATCTACCTTTTCTTACTAATTCCTTCAGCATTCAGTTGGGAAAGCTGATTACGGCAGTTTTTTTGAAATAAGTGTAAATCCCCTCTCCAAAAATCTACCTTTTCTTGCCAATTCCTTCAGCACTTTATTTTAGAAAAAGATATTTAGCCATTTAGCCACGTAGGAACGTAGGAATCAGTTGAGGAACGAGGATTCTTAACCTTTTAGCAAGAAAAGGTTAAGAATTTAGATGTAAAACTGACCTGAATATAAGGCAGCTAAAGTAAACGTAACAAATAAAGACAAGAATATTAAAATTTTCATTTTTAGACAAATGAAATTTTAGGCAAATAAAATTCTAGACAAATGAAAATTGGTTCGTATGCAAATTGCAAAGTGATTGTCTGGCCAAAGACGCTCTTATCAGCGCTTTTGTCCGTATCACAATCATTGCAGAAAGGGAAATAAATGGGAATCGCCGTTTTTGTGCCATTTCAATTGTACACAAATCATGACATTTTTCAGAATTACCACTTCAACTTTTGCATTTTGTTGATTTTTCCTTGTAAAGTTTCAAATTTGCTTTCTTTTTCTATTAGATTGTCCAGTTGTCCAGTTTTGAAGAGTCCACCAAACAGTAAGCATTACTTTCTTGCTGTGAAAGTCGAGCTTTGGTGTTGTTATTGGCTCTTCATCAGGTTCTAGCCATTGGAATTATCATATTGAATCCATTATCCCTTATTGAATTCTCATCTGAATCCATTTTTCATCGCAAGTAAAGGTTTCCTCGTAAAACCCAGTATTTTTTTGACAAACGAAGTAGAATACCCGCCATAGTGACACGAGTAGCTTTATTGGCATCACTGAGAAGAAGGAGTACCCATTTCCCTTGTCAGCTTGCTTTCCCAAATCTCAATTGGGGAAAGAAGAGAGCAAGTAAATGCTCGAAACTTGTTTGAGGGCTTATTTCAAATATTTCTGCAAGTTCACGTGTAGTTTGTCGAGGATCAATTTCGATCGCCTGTTTAAGTACTGCATTATCGATCGTAGGTGGCTCGTAGGTGGCTCGTAGGTGGCACGTAGGTGGCTCGTAGGTGGCACGTAGGTAGCTCGTAGGTGGCTCATCACCCAAAAATTCATTTCCTTCTCGAAATCGTTGAAACCATCACCGCCGACACTGGCTTTCCGAAATAGTATCTTCCAAAATACTTTCCAAAGGTCTCGATGAGATTCAGCGATATTTTTGGGGGTAGTCAAAACAGCGCCATCATAGAAAACGTTCAAAACAGCGCCGTCAAATTTCTCAAAATCCAAAAAACCAAGCCGGTTCAAGTTTTATATCAAAAAATTCCTTGCGTTCTTGGCTACATGATGGGTGAAACAGTTTTTTAAAAAAGGTTAATATTTCATAGATAAAAAGAGCACGCAAAATGTGTATCGAGTGATACTCAGTTGGTTAACTGAATATCTTTAGCTCTCTTGTAAAGCTCTAAGGAATGCTGTTCAAGTTGTTCAAGAGCAGGCGTGCATTGACATTTTTCAGAATTACCACTTCAACTTTTGCATTTTGTTGATTTTGATCCTTGTAAAGTTTCAAATTTGCTTTCTTTTTTCGATTTTCTATATTGAATGAAACATTTTATTACAGGCACAGCTTTCTTTTAACAAAACATTTAAATATATCACAGATTTGTCAAAGTTTTCATTGGAGTATCGACGTTGAGATTCACAAACCTCTATTTAAGTACTAGGAAATGGGTGCTAGTTATTTTGGAATGAAGTAAATGAAGTAAATGAAGTAGGTGATAGTGAAATGGGTAACAAAAAAAGAAAGAATATCTAAGATTGGGATCTGAGATCTTCTAGGCTAGGCTGGTTATCGGACATTTGATACGAGCCCCACCCCTTTTGCCATTGGCAATTTAACTTTGAGCTCAAATATCTTGGCGTTTAGCTGTTCAATTTAAATGGTTTTTATACCAATCGATAGAGAAAGACTTGGCGTATCTAATGATACAAAGAATGCTTAAATTGAACAGCTCAACACCAAGATATTTGAGTTCAAAGTTAGATTGCCAATGGCAAAAGGGACGGGGCGCGTATTAAATCGGCTAGGCTGGCCAGACTTGGTTTTAGGTGACTTTTGTAGGCTAGTCCAGGGCAGAACCTGGCTTCTAGGTTGATCCTAGCCTGGCCTGGCCCAGAGAAATTGTCCTTAAAACAACTTCCAACAGTCCACGTTCATAGGTGTTGAAAGTACTTTTAGCCATAACTTTTTGATGTCAATTGACGCAGTGGAGAATTTCCTATCGAATGACACTAGAATCATACAGATCCGATAAGTACAGATCTGCAAAAGTCAACTTTTCCCAGCCTAAGGCCAACCAGGCCTAGGGTCAGCTTAGGGCCAACCAGGTCTAGGGTCAGCCTAGGGCCAGCAAGGCCCTGCCCTGGCCTAGTCAGGCCCTGCCCTGGCGTAGCATAAAAGTACTTTGGACACCTATGGACATTCGGGAACTAATATAACAAAATCGATATCAAAAAATGAATCAAAAGTGTAGGAAACAACAAAAATAGTCAACAAAACAAAGAAAAACCCGAAAGTTAAACATAAATGCCGGACGATATGCGGGATAAAAGGAGAAACAAAAAGAAAAGACCAAGAAAACTAGTCTAACTGATTGAATAACGTAATCCAGTCAAATAACATTTAAACATTAAGGAGAATGGAGAATACAGTATCTTTTATTCAAATTGCTCACTTCTTCACACGTGAACTTGAATTCTGGGTATCCGGGGCATTCACCCTTCGTCGTGCATTCCCACGACTCAACTAAATTTGATGAGCATAAGTAGGTAATTAAGATTCCAAGGCTCTTGTGAAAATCAACGCCAACTTGGCCAAAAGAGCCTTATTGCCTCATGATTTTCTCGGAATTGATTGATTCAAGCTCTATTTTATACCATTCTCAAGTCTGGAGTGTTCTCTTTAAAACAAATAAAAAGTTAAGAATAATATTAGCTCTAAACAAAGTTACCCTCAAACCCTCAAAGCTTGACTAGTCACTCAAAGCCTCAAAACTTGACTAGTCATTCAAAGCCTCAAAGCCGCTTTTAAGCTACAAGAGCCGATTCAAGTGTAAAACTCACAGTGCTTACAAGTTGGCCCATGAAAATGCGGCTCACAATTGCATTTGAAACCTTCAGATTTGGGAGCACTTGGGTCTATTTGGCCTCTGCTGCTGCATTCCGGATCTAAAGTAATTCGTAAGCTAAGCTCTTATAGGTTTTATTCTCAATTTTGTATTTTCGGTTACTATTATAGTTAGATCAGGGTAGTTCAAAGCTAGAAGCCTGTCTAGCAGGTCGGACACTTTTTGTGGACAAGTTCAGGCCAGACCAGAAGTCTATAGACACTTGCTATGTTAGGTTCTAGGCTTCTTGTTTGACTTAACCTGTTCACACCGTGGAAGCCAGATCCCTGACCTGATAGTGGGTTCTAGACTGAACGAGCTGGTCCATAAATCTGGTTTGTAGTTTGGAGCTGGTCTTGGGCTTGCTTAGGCAGGACTGGTCTGTTTCTGAGCAAGACTGGTCTGTTTCTGAGCAAGACTGGTCTGTTTCTGAGCAAGACTAGTCTGTTTACACATCAACTGAAACCTGACCTGTTTGGCTATCCTAGAGTCCAGCTGGAACATCCCTTATAAACCTATGAAAAGTTATGGTCAAAGCTATCATCAAAGTTATCCATTAGGATACTGTAATTGCTTAGTAATTAATTGCTTAGTAACTAATTGCTTAGTAAAAGTCAAGTAAAGTAAACTTCGATTGTGTAACAAATTTTTTTTTAAGGATTGGCAACGCTTAAAACTAACCCCTATGCAAATGATGGCTTCGTCTTCCGCGGCGGAGTTTTTCCTCGATCCTATCCCGTGATCTCTCCAATGATCGCTCAATTTCCTCATCGATTAGCTCGGAGATTTTGTATGGTCTTGAGTGACGATTTCTATGTGGATATCCCATCGTTATTACCAAAATAAGCCAAATCATCAGTAAATAGCCGAGTAGTTGCATGTTGAAGTCTAAAATGAAATCAAATTTCGATCAAAAAAAAGAAAAAGAAGTTAAAAGATGCAAAAAGTTTTTTAAACTCGCTTGAAATGACTGATTTTTGAGATTTGGAGTCTTATATAGTCGCATTTTCATCAAGAGTCAGTAGAGTGTCCAAAAAAATATTACAATGCCGGTTTTGACTCCGCCCCGAAGAAGAAAATGGCACAAAGGTGCAGAATAAAAGTCTCTTTTTTTTGGAAAAAAAGGTCGAGAGACTAATCTTTTGCTGATAAAAGTTGTGAGGCAATAGGCGGGGCTTGAACAAACTAAAGGCATTCCACTTAAATTACCTAAGTAAAAATAGACCTAAAGTGTACGGTACGGGTTCTAGGATACAATTTAAATCTTCAGAAAACAGTTGCTGTACATAATTGTTGCTTAGGTCGGAGATTTGGACTGGCCTGGTCCTGGTCAAGGACTGGTCTAGTTCTGGCCAAGGACTGGCCTGGTCCTGGTCAAGGACTGGTCTAGTTCTGGCCAAGGACTGGCCTGGTCCTGGTCAAGGACTGGTCTAGTTCTGGCCAAGGACTGGCCTGGTCCTGGCCAAGGACTGGCCGGGCCTGCCGGGGCCCGAGGGCTGGGGCTGGCCCCGGTTCCGGGGCCTGGCCTGGTCCGGACCCGGGCCGGGCCGGGTCTTGGCCAAGGACTGGCCTGGTTCTGGCCAAGGACCGGCCAAGGACCTATCTAGGTTGGATAATCTGTTGAACCCTACCCTACCATGATCTGAGCTGCCTAAACCGGTACGCTTGGATTTCTATGATTTAACTAAAGCGAAAGCTAAAGTTAAAGCTTTAGAACGTGCATACTTGATCAGGGTTTAGCAAATTGATCACTGTGACTCGACTTGAGCTGATCTGTCTGATCTAGCCCAGGAGCTGATCTGTCTGATCTAGCCCAGAGATGATCTGTCTGATCTAGCCCACGAGCTGATCTGTCTGATCTAGCGTAGGAGCTGGTCTGTCTGATATAGCCCAGGAGCTGATCTGAGCTGAGCTAAGAGTCCAGAGCTAATTATAAGCTGAGCCGAACTGCTAAGGTTGAACTGATCCTGTTTTAGGTTGGCCTGGTTTAGTCCTTTAAAGTCCTGCTCAGTTGGGTTAAACGTTTTGAATATCAAACATAAATGTCAAGCCAATTCTTTTCCATAACTACTGTAATCATTCGCTTACAGAGTGCGGTATTTATGCCTCTTGCGCTCTACAAAAGTTTGATTTTCTCAAAAACCAAAAAGTTCTTTCGTTTTTCGTTTTTCTCGTCGTTGTTTCGTTTTTTCTTTTAAATATTTCAAATCTACGGCCATTTTTTCACTAGATTCATGAGTTTTTGTAGACATTTTGTAGACATAAAACTTCATTCGCCTTATATAAGACTTTAAAAATGATTGGTGAAATTTGTCGAAGGTGAAAGTGCTCGAAAAAATGCGATTTGTCAGAAATGTGCCCATTTTTAGCCAAGATAACCTCGCATTTGGAATAATGGAGCTCAAAAAGCACTTATTTTTATAATGATCAACTCTCAAAACGTATTAATGATGAAAAGACGATATTTTTAGGCTTGTGGGCCATTTGATACGCGCCCTGTCCCTTTTGCCATTGGCAATCTAACTTTGAGCTCAAATATCTTGGCGTTGGGCTGTCCAATTTAAATATTCTTGGTATCATTAGATGCGCCAAGACTTTCTCTGTCGATTGGTATAAAAACTATTTAAATTGAACAATCCCAAGCCGAGATATTTGAGTTCAAAGTTAGATTGCCATTGGCAAAAGGGGAGAAGCACCTTTTATACGCCCCGCCCCTTTTTGCTCCTTTTATGCGTAGATTTTATGTTTAATTGTTGTTTTTCAGCTTAGGCATTGTCTTAGAAAGCCAAAAAGACGCATTAAGCACAACACTATAAATGCCGCACTCTGTAATCATTTCGTTGAATCATTTCGCTGAATCACTTTTTCCCCTTTTGAATTTGTGAAATTTTTCGGAGAATCATTTAGGTTTCTCCGAACAATTTCACACATTCTAAGGGCAAAAAAAGCGGTGTGAAAATGTGAGGGAACTTTGACCCGGCGGTGAAAGAAATGGTTATGAGAATTTTAAGCAATCTTCTTCTGGGCATCTTCTTCTGGGCATTTTAAGAGCCCATTTTATAGCTTGTTCAGTCCTGATTACTGTTTCTTTTCCATGGGTTTTACAAAAGGCCAAGTCAATTCCAAAAACAATCGCATAAAGGTTATCAGCTTTGCGTGAGGCTTCAATAAACTACAGTTATTACTGTAGTAATCTAGGTTTAGCTTACTGTAGATAATAGTCGTAAAGGTACGGTAACCCAGCTACAGTAATCCAGCTACAGTAATCCAGCTACAGTAATCCAGCTACAGTAATCCTAGTAATCCAGGCTATAGTTTAGCTTTTTGTAGCTTTCCCACGGCATTTGCAAAAAGAAAATCAATCTAGAAATTGAATGAGAAATGCAAAAAAAAAAGCTTTTCAAAGATTTAGATATAAAATTTGCTTTGGATTGTTAATTGGATAACTTTTAAGCCTAAGTAAGGGTACTGTAGGCCTACAAAGCTACTGTAGACTTACAAAGCTTACTGTAGGCTTACAAAGCTCACTGTAGGCTTACAAAGCTTACCGTAGGCTTGCAAAGCTTACTATAAGGCTTACAAAGCTCACTGTAGGCTTACAAAGCTTACCGTAGGCTTGCAAAGCTTACCGTAGGCTTGCAAAGCTTACCGTAGGCTTGCAAGGCTTACCGTAGGCTCGCAAAGCTTACTGTAGGCCTACAAAGCTTACTGTAGGCCTACAAGGCTTACTGTAGGCTTGGACACTCCGTTACAGTACCTGTAACAGTACGTTCCAGATCCTGTAAGGTACTGTATTACTTTCTAGACAATGCAACGTACTGTAGTACGTTCTAGATACCGTAACGTACTCTAAATACTATAAATCCCATTCTCTTGTCTCACTACAGTAACCTAAATAGATAAAATTGCTTAATTGAATTTTTTTTCGATGCATTAAAACAAAAAGTACTTTACAAATTTGCATTTTATAATGGCATTTACCGTACTTTTGCATAAACTTTTCCAAAAAGGTACTAAGAAGTGCCACTCGCTTTTTGCCTTACTACAATATGAAAAGGTAATCAGCTAGAAAGGTTGAAAATCTTTTGTTTCATTGAAAAATTGAAGAAAGCGACATTTAGGCTTGGAAAATGGCAAGAGAATTGGCTTATAGGATACTATAGTGAGAGAAAAAAAAGCTGAACTTTACAGGAATCTTATAGCCTGCTTACAGTAATCTTATAGCCTTCTTACAGCAATCTTATAGCCTGCTTACAGCAATCTTATAGCCTTCAGATCTACAAGCGCAATTTAAAAAACAGCATCAATTTATTTAAAGTACGGTAGGAGTAAGCTAAAAATGGGAAAATTTCGATTTCTAGCTGAAAACTTTGATTTCTAGCTGTAGAAAAAATTTCAAAGGAATCGGCAAAGAAAACGAAGGTGGAATCTGTTAAAAATTGATTCCTAATTGTCGAATAACTTTATAAATTTGGGATTAAGTTTGTAAGATTTCGAGAATTCATTCAAAATTCGTTAATTCGTTTAAAATTTTATTTAAATATTGATTTTGATATATTGATTTTGCGCTGAGATATTAGCAATTTAAGAAAGAGAAAGGGAGAAAGAGAAAGAGAAAGGGAGAAAGAGAAAGAGAAAGGGAGAAAGAGAAAGAGAAAGGGAGAGAGAAAAAGAAAAAGGGGAAAAAAAAAAGAGAAAGAAAAGGCTTAGTTTACAATCAAATAAAATATGCTTTCGTTTTAGCTAAATAAGGTGAAGCCTTTAGTAGAACCAAATAAGTTCAATGATTGCATGAAATTGCTTAGATGTTCAATGATCGCTTAGGTGTTCTATGATCGCTTAGATGAAAGTTCATCACACAGGCATTACACAGGCTCCAATTTTTTAGCCAATTCTATTCACTTTTTGCCTGATTATGTATGGGTTCACAAAGAATATTGAAAGATGAAAAAAAAGTGGATAGATTAGATCAAAAATTGAGACAAGATTACGGTAGAAAGAGAAAGGGACACGTTTTAGAAAGCTCGTTGTTCAAGAGGGTTACTTAGACAAGAGTTGCAAGAGATTACAAGAGTTGCAAGAGATTACAAAAGGCTACAAGAGCTTACAAGAGCTTACAAGAGATTACAAGAGTTGCAAGAGTTGCAAGAGCTTACAAGAGCTTACAAGAGCTTACAAGAGCTTACAAGAGTTGCAAGAGTTGCAAGAGCTTACAAGAGCTTGCAAGAGCTTACAAGAGATTAAAAGGCAAAGGCTTACAAGAGCTTACAAGAGATTACAAGAGATTACAAGAGTTGCAAGAGCGCGGTTACAAGAGCTTACAAAAGGCTACAAGAGCTTACAAGAGCTTACAAGAGCTTACAACAGGTTCAACCCTTTATAAGACTAACTAGGTAACGAATCTCGAAGCTTTAGCTTTAGCCAAAAGCTTTAGAAGGCTACTAATCCATTTCCTAAAACGTGTCAACTCTCAAAGTTACCGTAATCTTGTCTCAAAGTCTCCCCTCAAAAGGTTAAATTAAAAATAGGCTACTGTAGAAGCAAATACGTTCAATGATTGCTTTAAAAAACTAATTGAAAAGCTAATGAAAGTTCATCACACAGGCTTATATAATTATCCGATTTCCTGTTAAAAGCTCCCTCACCAAAAAGCGCAATGCCATTTGTGAAAGAAGTACAACTACAAAAAAATCCCCCCAGTGCGTCATGCAAAAGCGCGTAAATTTGCAATTGGAGAATTTGCAATTAGAGAATTTTCATTTGGATTTTTCCACTGAAAACGAAAAACGAAAAACGAAAAACGAAAAACGAAAAAAAACGATGGCGTGCCCTTTCTTGCATAATTTCTCAAAAGTTTCTCAAAATTTTTGTACTCGATAT